TTCAATTTTCACCCACAACACAACTAACTACTCGTTTTTCATCGATTTTGACTATTGGATGCAAAAACAAAGTAAAAGTAAAATTATTAGTTAAAAATGTTAGTAGGTAAATTATGAATTACCTCATAGCATCTCCGATGGCATAATGTCTATTTTGAGATGTATGGTGTGGAGAAAAAAAATAAAATATTTTGTCTCCATTGATTAATTCAATTGTGAAATAGTTTGACACATGTAAGATAATAACTGGTTGGTGAAGAAAAAAAATATAAAATAAGTAATATAATATAGACTAAAGATGTCTAGAAGCCTTTCTACATCTCGAAAGACTTCGAGTATATTTTGAATGTCACGTTGACTTTGTTGGACTACGTGGCAATGGATTAAACAGTCCATGGACCATTAGAGATGCTCTTAGTGTTAAAAAGATAAGATAATCATATCTTTATGCTCAATCTCGTACTGTGTGTTGTATTATCGATTTGGAATTGTTCGATTTTTTTTTTTTTTAAGTCCCAAAGGACGAGGAATCGAAGCTATATCCCTAACCTGTAAATTTTTCATGTTCTAATTTTGATATATGATCAGGGAAAAACTAATATATATAGTAGAATTAAGGCCAAATTGTTTTAAAATTCATAACTTTTTATTGAATTGTAAAAGAATCTCAATATTTTTTGTGTTCCCATTAAATGCTCAACTTTTTCTATTTGTTGCAACTTGCAAGTGAAGCTCAAACATGGACATTTCTGGAATTTATCATTCTTTGTAGCCATATAGGAAATTAGTAAATTTACTATAATGAGTTTTTCCATATTCTAAATTAGCATGTACTTGAAACATTTTAAACAATTGCATACATCTTTAAATAGTTGTATTCATCTTCAGAGAAATGGGAAATTGGGGATTGTGGAAGAAATTAGATTTCACAATAATTTTATTTGAACTCCGATATGTATATGTATTTTAAACTTAAAAATCTATGTAAGCTTTATAGTCGGTCAGATCAGCACTGCGGCGGTCGAGAAACCGATAGAAGCTTCATGCAAGAAATAGAAAATGTTGGGTATTAAATGGCAACATTGAAAAGGTTGAGATTTTTTTTTGCAATTGAATAAAAGTTTATGGGTTTTTAAGAAATTAGGCCTAGAATTAATAAGCAAAATACAATTTTCACATCGAAACTGTTGTGTTTTTAACTTTTAACCTAACATTATAAATATTCTTTTTTAAAGAAAACCTCCAATCTATAAAACAAACACATATCATGATTAGAAAATACGATTATACAAATGACACGATGTGCATGACAAGACACGACACGATAAGAAAAACACAAAATATAAAATTCAGTTAATTAATAGATATAGTATCATACTTATATGATATAATAAAATAGCAGTAATGCTCCCATACATACCTACGGTGGACACATGTTAATTTGCCCACTGCCTACGTGGCATGCACATATTAGTGATATATATTTTTTTGAACATATTAACATCATCAATGTGTGTATGCCTCATAAGCGGTGGACATATTAACACGTTCCACCTGGGTAGGGGAGCACTACTAAATAAAATAGATAACACACACACAATTTTTAAGCCAAACACAACACAATAGCATGATTTGCCACCCACACACAAAATGATAAAATGATCAATATCATACAATAACATATAATCCATTGTTCAATAATAATATATTTCACGTGATACCACCATAGTTTGCTACCTTGGATAGACACAGCCAAACTCCGGGACCACTCCGGCCCGAAAGGTCGACGGGTTCAAAAGAACCATCGTGAGGTACGAGCCGAGTACAAAACCCGACGGGCCAAACCAGTATAGTGACCCAGCGGGCGAGTTTAATGACCCAATAGGCCGTCCAACCCGAAATCGGACCCACACCGGGATTCATCCTAAAAAAATTTACAAAAAAGCCCGGCCAGCC